TTGACGTCACCTACGATGCTGCCCGACTTCATGACGTCACGATGTCTGCCTGACGTCACCTCGAGATGTCTGCTGACGTCACAGTGCTGCTGACGTCATCACGCCTGACATCACATGATGTCATCATCGAGTGTTCAGTAATTATTAAAATATTGTCGAGAAGACTAAGAGAAGATATATGTCGTGTTAATTAATTCCTCTCAGTCATTGTTCTCACATTTTAGTATATGTCTTAGTGTCAGTTTTATGCACAGAAAAGCATCATTTGCTAGTTTAAGCCATGTTGTACCGCGGGTGTGTTTAAAGTTTCCATGTGTCCAGTGAGGTCTGAGCCAGACCTGAGTAGCACCACTGTGCTAAGTCACCCGTGTGACCAGTGCGTTTGACAGCTGATATACTCAGCCTCCGAATGACCGAGCCCCCTTGTACAGAAAGCTTTTATGCTCGTCGCTCGTGATGTTCTGCAGAATCGTACCTACTACGATTCCCATCGAGATTTGTTTCACTTCACCTCCAGACCTTCAGAATGCAGTTATATGTAGAGAAACAAGTCTGGGGACGCTTAGACTAACCTCTGCTATAACTCCAACTGTCGAGAGAATGTCACTGTGTGTCAGCCTCGTGTCACAAGCTTCAGTGAGCAGCCTGCACAAAGAAGATGTCACTTTGACTGATAGCTCTCTCACTGCAGTCTGGTGTATGATGTTATGACTCCCAGATGTTTCGCCCAGTCGTCTCTGCCACGACTCGCTCCACAACTCGCTCCACGCTCGCCGGCAGTGACAGCCCAGCGACAGTACCAGTCGAGAAGTGTCCTCCTGAGTTGCTTGCCAGAAGTCCTGCCCAGTTGCCGAGTTTTGTCGACGCCTCACTCGAGGGCACCAGCATGTCGTGTCCCAGGTTGAGTGAAAACCTGCAGCGACTCCTACGATGACTTTCACCGTTCCAGAGGAGACTGTACCCTGTTACGTCACAGCTCAGCCGCAGCGATGTCTCCCATGTTGCAGTATCTGTCCAGATGCAGGAAGGCGTGCAGTGATGCCCTTCGACGCTCGCTGCCTTTGACCACGATGTTTAGCACACCCCACATATTTTTTTCTTCCCTCCCTGTAGGAAGTTTTTTTTTCCATGTCCATATGTATATATATGTTTTTATTTTGTGTTCTGTGCCCTGTACCTACGAGAGAGAGACCGAGCTCCTTTTACCACCAGTATTGTCGCATCGGGACGACTCGCGGTAGGTGGCCGAGCGTATGTAGACAGCCTGTACTGTCTGCACAGACAGCCCATGCTGTCTGCCAGCTTAGTTCATATTTTGTGCCACTCAGATGCTGCCCTCTGTAGCCAGGCCTCTCGGTGGCCACTTCAGCCTGCCTGGCCTTGCCACGCTCTCACTCACACAGCGGCCTAGCAGGAAGACACAAGGCCTACTACCAGTAGCTCTCTCTCGTGGGATGGCCCTCCCGGGCCATGGGCACAAAACAAGCCTGTGTACCCACCACGACTTAACAATAAAGTAAGAAGCCTCCGAAGATGTATCATTTACTACCCGCAACCAGAATACCAAACAAACTCGTTATAAACACTTTCTCTCTCTTTCTCTCTCTTTCTCTTTCTTTCTCTTTCTCTCTTTCTCTCTTTCTCTTTCTCTCTCTTTCTCTCTCTTTCTCTCTCTTTCTCTCTCTCTCTTTCCTCTCTTCTTTCTCTCTTTCTCTCTCTCTTTCTCTCTTTCTCTCTTCTCTCTCTCTCTCTCTCTTCTCTCTCTCTTCTCTCTCTCTCTCTCTCTCTCTCTCTCTCTCTTCTCTCTCTCTCTTTTTCTCTCTTTTCTTTCTCTCTTCTTCTCTCTTCTCTTTCTCTTTCTCTCTTTCTCTTTCTCTCTCTCTTTCTCTCTTTTCTCTTTCTCTCTCTCTTTCTCTCCTTTCTCTCTCTCTTCTCTTTCTCTTTCTCTTCCTCTCTCTCTCTCTCTCTCTCTCTCTCTCTCTCTTTCTTCCTCTCTTTCTCTCTCTCTCTTCTCTCTCTCTTCTCTCTCTCTCTCTTCTCTACTCTTTCTCTTTCTTTCTCTCTTTCTTCTCTTTTCTCTCTCTTCTCTCTCCTTTCACTTTTTTTTATCTCTTTTTCTTCTGCTCTCTCACTGCTCTTCTAGCTCTTCTACACACTGGTACACGTAAGTCAAGTTATCATACATATTATAAATTATAGGATAACAAAATAAATACCAGATATAAGTGTATAACACTTGGATCTTGTGCTCCATGCCCTAAATTAAGTAATAAATTAATATCATTATTATTAATGTAAGTACAGTATGTACTAATATTAATATTATTAAGTAATAATATAATAATGTTCCACCATTAGTACTTAAAATATCTGTAGTTTTAATGTAGAGTGAGAGGTGAGTAGACAAGAATAAATGAGAGAGAGAATGAGAATGTAGAATGTTCACGAGTTATGTAAACAAACGTTGTTGTTATTACCAGCCCCGACACGAATGATTCTGTTCACTGTCAAGCGACCAGAAAAACATCTATATTTGTTAATTTATATGTTATGTAGCATGTTCATTATATAATTTTGAAAAAAAAAATAGATGGATTAAACAAAATGTCTATATTAACGTTTTATACACATTTAATGCGCCTCAGTGATTATTATTGTTATTATCATTATTAATATGGCGTCTTCCAGACCAAGTACACTCTTAATGAGTGGCTCTGAGACAGACAAGCAGACAAAGACAGACACACAGGTAGACAGACAGACACATAGGTAGACACAGGCAGACACAGGTAGACATAAAGCCAGACACAGGTAGACAGAAAGACACACAGGTAGACAGAAAAAGACACAGGTAGACAGAAAGACACACAGGTAGACAGAAAGACAGACACACACAAAGACAGACACACACACCAAGTGCAAAGTCATGAAGATTGGGGAAGGGCAAAGAAGACCGCAGACGGAGTACAGTCTAGGGGGCCAGAGACTACAAACCTCACTCAAGGAAAAAGATCTTGGGGTGAGTATAACACCAGGCACATTTCCTGAAGCACACATCAACCAAATAACTGCTGCAGCATATGGGCGCCTAGCAAACCTCAGAACAGCATTCCGACATCTTAATAAGGAATTGTTCAGGACCCTGTACACCGTGTACGTTAGGCCCATATTGGAGTATGCGGCACCAGTTTGGAACCCACACCTAGCCAAGCACGTAAAGAAACTAGAGAAAGTGCAAAGGTTTGCAACAAGACTAGTCCCAGAGCTAAGAGGTATGTCCTACGAGGAGAGGTTAAGGGAAATCAACCTGACGACACTGGAGGACAGGAGAGATGGGGGAACATGATAACGACATACAAAATACTGAGAGGAATTGACAAGGTAGACAAAGACAGGATGTTCCAGAGATTGGACACAGTAACAAGGGGACACAGTTGGAAGTTGAAGACACAGATGAATCACAGGGATGTTAGGAAGTATTTCTTCAGCCACAGAGTAGTCAGTAAGTGGAATAGTTTGGGAAGCGATGTAGTGGAGGCAGGATCCATACATAGCTTTAAGCAGAGGTATGATAAAGCTCACGGTTCAGGGAGAGTGACCTAGTAGCGATCAGTGAAGAGGCGGGGCCAGGAGCTCGGACTCGACCCCCGCAACCTCAACTAGGTTAGTACACAGGTAGACAGAAAGACACACAGGTAGACAAAGACACACAGGTAGACAGAAAGACAGACACACAGGTAGACAGAAAGATACACAGGTAGACAGAAAGATACACAGGTAGACAGACAGATACAGACACAGAGATACAGACAGATATACAGACAGATATACAGGCAGACAGATACAGACAGGTTTATGTGCAACAATGAAAACAAATAGAGAGTTCGAGAGTAAGAGCCTTTCTTGCCACAATCTCCAGTGCAAGATTCAGGCTTCATCTTAGGGGCCATGGTGAAATTTACTGTCCAGTTAGTACAGTTAATACAGTATGATGCTGCTGATAGGGCAGGGTTACTCAAACTGATGCTGCCTGCATGACACATTGCCACCGCAAGTATTGTCAAATATTGTACAGCGGTGTGCTGTATAGTCCTTGTGGCTTAGCGCTTCTTTTTTGATTATAATAATGTACAGCGGTGTGCATCAGCCGGCCCAGCCCAGCTGCCAGATGCACGGTCGTAAGTCGAGTGGATGTATGTCGAGCAGGTCGTAAGTCGGATGGTAGGTGTATTACAATATTGCATGACAGTAAATCTTCTGTTTTTTGGTGCAATAAAAATTAATTATGTGAATAAAAATCAAAATGGAATTCAATTGTAAAGCCTGGAAATGTAACTAATAATCAGAGGAAATGTTATTTTAGTGCCAGGAATGCCTGCATTGTTTATTCTGGACCCTATTTTGAAATTGGAATATTTTGAACTGTGTGTGAAATGGGCCAAATTACCGATTTCCAGTCATTGTAGTGGGTAGTTGAAATAGTTGATTGGGCAATTTCTTGTGCTGAGCAATTTCTTTTGCTTAATTGATAAAATAGAAGTAATACTAGTGAAATAGCTAAGAATTTGGTAGAGTGGAATAATGTAATTGGCCTAAAATGGGAGTCGAAGTGGGCAAAATTGCCTATGCATAAATATTGCTGACACAGCAAAATTTGTGAGAGCTTAATTTCGTCAATTTTCCATCAAATTTCATACTTTTTGTTTTATTACCTTAAGAAAAAGAATCTCTACCATTTCATAAGAAAAATTTTTTTTTTTTTAAATTCTTGGACCCTATGGACAAGTTTCAGAGTGGGGGTCTGGACCCTGAAAGGGTTAAAATGCATTTTGCCCCAGGATTTCAATCATTTGCTATGTGCACCACATTTCTTTAAAATTTGTCTTCATTATATTTAATCTTTCACCCACTTTGTGTTCAATATCCTACACTGAATCTGTGAAATGAAATATATATGAGTGCTTGGTTTGTAGTCTGTTTTCTTTATTCAATGTTTTCAGATTTGGCAAACATCGTAAAAGTGTTGATAATACAAGTGGACTTCCAATGAAAGGTGAAAGAGAAGGGGAGAGAATAGAAGGACGAAATGAAATGGACAGAGCAGAAGTGGAGAGATTAGCTGCTGCTCGGCGGTTGCAGCAAGAAGAGCATGACCACATGCAGGAGCAGTACAGGAGGATGATTGAAAATACAGCACGAGCTTCTCAGGTAAAAGTTTACATGCTATTTTGTACTGTTTTGTACTGCCTCGGTGGGAGACGACTGACTTGTTAAAAAAAAAAAAAAAAAAAATTATTTGATTATGTTGACATGAAGCTTGGGCTAGGACTAAGAGCTGAAGGCCCCTCCTTCTCCCTCGGATAGGTAATTGCAAATTTCTGATTACATGTTCTCTTCACTTTATATGAATTTGCTATCATGTGGTGTATTTCTTTTGGTAATTTTGTATGTATGATGTACACTCACTGTATGTGACTGATGTAGTTCACAAACCTTACTGAGGATTTTTTTTTAAGCACGTCATCTGTTTCCCACCAAGGCAGGGTGACCTAAAACAAAGAAAAACCCAAAAAGAAAGAAACTTTCACTATCAGTCAACACTTTCACCATCACTGATGCATAATCACTGTCTTTGCAGAGATGCCCAGATACAACAGTTTAGATAGTCACTCCAAACTGCCAATATCCCAAAGCCCTCCTTTAAAGTGCAGGCATTGTACTTCCTATTTCCAGGACTTAAGTCCGGCTAACCGGTTTTCCTGAATCTCTTCACAAAATATTACCCTGCTTACACTCCAACAGCTCATCAGGTCCCAAAAGTCATTGGCCTCCATTCACTCCTATCTAACATGCTCACGCATGCTTGCTGGAAATCCAAACCCCTCGCCCATAAAACCACCTTTACCCCATCCCTCCAACCTTTTCAAGGACGACCCCTACCCCGCCTTCTTCCCCTACATGTTTATACGTTCTCCAAGTCATTCTACTTTGTTCTATTCTCTCTGAATGACCCAACTACCTCAACAACCCCTCTTCAGCCCTCTGACTAATATTTTAGTAACTCCACACCTCCTAATTTCCAAACTAAAAATTCTCTGCATAATAATTACACTACACATTGCCCTTAAACAGGACATCTCCACTGCCTCCAGCCGCCTCCTCACCGCAACATTTGCATCCCAAGCTTCACACCTATATAAGAGTGTTGGTACCACTGTATTTTCGTACATTTCCGTTTTTTGCCTCCATGGATAACTTTTTTTTTTGTCTCCACAGATACCTCAACACACCACTCCCCTGTTTTCCTTTGTCAGTTCTATGGTTAACCTCATTAACCCATCTGCTGACAAGTCAACTCCCAAATATCTAAAAACATTCACTTCTTCCATACTCCCTCTCTCCAATGTAATATCCAATTTTTCTTTAAATCGTTTGATACCCTCATCATCTTACTCTTATCTATATTCACTTTCAACTTTCTACCTTTATCCACCCTCCCAAACTCGTCCACTAACCTTTGTAACTTTTCTTTAGAATCTCCCAAAAGTACAGTATCATCAGCAAAAAGTAACTGTGTCATCTCTCATTTTGTGTTTAACTCCCCATAATTTAATCCCACCCTTCTTCCCAACACCCTAGCATTTACTTCTTTTACAACCCTATGTATAAATATATTAAACAACTATGGTGACATTACACATCCCTGTCTAAGATGTACTTTTACCGGGAAGTAATCTCCTGGTAAAAGTAGGTCTTAGACAGGGTTTATGAGGTTAACCATAGAACTGACAAAGGAAAACAGGGGAGTGGTGTGTTGAGGTATCTGTGGAGACACAAAAAAAAGTTATCCATGAGATTATTTCCCAGTAAAAGTAGGCCTTAGACAAGGGTGTGTGATGTCACCGTGGTTGATTAATATATTTATAGATGGGGTTGTAAGAGAAGTAAATGCGAGGGTCTTGGCAAGAGGCGTGGAGTTAAAAGATAAAGAATCACACATAAAGTGGGAGTTGTCACAGTTGCTCTTTGCTGATGACACTGTGCTCTTGGGAGATTCTGAAGAGAAGTTGCAGAGATTGGTGGATGAATTTGGTTGGGTATGCAAAAGAAGAAAATTAAAAGTGAATACAGGAAAGAGTAAGGTTATGAGGATAACAAGATTAGATGATGAAAGATTGGATATCAGATTGGAGGGAGAGAGTATGGAGGAGGTGAATGTATTCAGATATTTGGGAGTGGACGTGTCAGCGGATGGGTCTATGAAAGATGAGGTGAATCATAGAATTGATGAGGGGAAAAGGGTGACCGGTGCACTTAGGAGTCTGTGGAGACTAAGAACTTTGTCCTTGGAGGCAAAGAGGGGAATGTATGAGAGTATAGTTTTACCAACGCTCTTATATGGGTGTGATGAATGTTGCAGTGAGGAGAAGGCTAGAGGCAGTGGAGATGTCATGTCTGAGGGCAATGTGTGGTGTGAATATAATGCAGAGAATTCGTAGTTTGGAAGTTAGGAGGAGGTGCGGGATTCCCAAAACTGTTGTCCAGAGGGCTGAGGAAGGATTGTTGAGGTGGTTCGGACATGTAGAGAGAATGGAGCGAAACAGAATGACTTCAAGAGTGTATCAGTCTGTAGTGGAAGGAAGGCGGGGTAGGGGTCGGCCTAGGAAAGGTTGGAGGGAGGGGGTAAAGGAGGTTTTGTGTGCGAGGGGCTTGGACTTCCAGCAGGCATGCGTGAGCGTGTTTGATAGGAGTGAATGGAGACAAATGGTTTTTAATACTTGACGTGCTGTTGGAGTGTGAGCAAAGTAACATTTATGAAGGGATTCAGGGAAACCGGCAGGCCGGACTTGAGTCCTGGAGATGGGAAGTACAGTGCCTGCACTATGAAGGAGGGGTGTTGGTGTTAATGTTGCAGTTTAAAAACTGTAGTGTAAAGCACCCTTCTGGCAAGACAGTGATGGAGTGAATGATGGTGAAAGTTTTTCTTTTTCGGGCCACCCTGCCTTGGTGGGAATCGGCCAGTGTGTTAATAATAAAAAATAATAATAATCTCCCTCTCTCCTACACACCCTAACTTGAGCCACACTATCCTCATAAAAACTCCTTACAGCATTTAGTAACTTGCTATCTATTCCATACACTTGCAACATCTGACACATTGCTCATCTATCCATTCTATCATATTCCTTTTCTAAATCCATAAATGCAATGAAAATATCCTTACCTTTATCTATATACTGTTTATGCAGAATTAAGTGTTGATGGTCTGTTTAAGCTTAATACAGCTGCCATGAATCTGGAACACATCTTTTGCATAAAGTCCAGGACATCTGTACAAACTCCTTTAACCAGTTTATTTTATATTTCAAGCTTATTCATATTTAATGTATGAAGTTTGCATTTCAGTGCATTATGAGAATTTTTGGTGCTGATTACAGCTGTGTATCTGCTGTTTTCTGAGTTTGATCCTTATTTCACAGCTTTTACACTGGTATCTTCCTTATCAGCATCTTCAGCTGGTGTAGAAATACAGTCTTCAGAAACCATACTCCCATTATAACATTAAACTAAAAAATGTATAGTCACAAGTTGTGTGAAATGTTTTCCCTGTAGGTACTGTAATAAGTGCTAGGCCATCAGCTTGTCACTGAGGGGTTTGATGACTATCAGACAGTGTACCAGAGTGCTCTCAGCACTATTGGGCAGACCTAATAAATTAAAAATAGAAATGTGTGTGAGATGGTAAGGGAAAGGGGTGTTTAATGGTATTGGTGGCTTATTATTTCAGTCTCAGCAGCAGCAGCAACAACCACAGATTCGAGGGGATGATGGAGAACCATCAAGGTCAGAACGCATGCATCAGTTGAGAGCAGAACACCAGCGTCGACATGCTCAGAGAAACCGAACTTATCCTACAGATGACTTAGAGGAGAGATATGAAAGTGCTTTAAGACAGGTAGGTTGAACTACCCTCATACACTCATTAGGATGAGCTTTTAAGGTTATTCTTTCTCTTTAGGCTACAATAATAAATGTAGGATTCAGATTTGTTATAGCCATTGGATTAGATCATAACATTTTATATATAATTTGATCACAGGATGACCCAAAAAAGAATGCATTCACCATCACTAGCTTCAAAGATGTCTTCCAGAAGTGCATGGGCACCACAGTTCATGCGATCCACCAAAATATAAGTCTCCATCCTACAAAGTATAGCACTGTATTACCCACTTCCACTTCGTAACTCGTGTCTAACTAACCAGTTTTCCTGAATAACTTCATAGATGTTACAGTTCATACTCCAAGAGCACAAAAAAACTCAAATATCACTTGACTCCACTCACTGATCTAGATGCTCACAAACTTAACATGTTTCTTCGTTTTTTTTTTTTTTTTTTTTTTTTTTTTTTTTTTTTTTTTTTTTTTTTTTTTTTTTTTTTTTTACACCTCAGATTTATACACCACTTTAGCCAATATGTCCGCTTTCATCCATTCTGAATGACCAATCTCAATAGCTCCTTTCATACTGCCTCGCCATCTAATTTCTTTGCTCATCTAATTCCAGCTACCTCCTTGCTATATCATTCAAGACCATGCTTCACACCCATATGAAAATTTTAACACTATTTTATTGTGATATATCACCCTATGTTTGTGTTCATTGATAAATGTTTTTCTACTTACTACTCAACACTGTTTCTGCCCTCTTAATGTATTCTGTGATTCACCTCATCTTTTGTAGTCCCATCTACCAACACTTGCACACATGCATACATAATTACATCCACATGTAAATACAAAATTACAGGAACCTTGTACAGTAGGGCCCCACTTTACGGCTTTCTGTTAATACAGACATTTCAAATTATGACCAAAACTCTTTGTATGGCTCCCCTTACCTCACTATAATATAGTCACCGTGCACCACTCGGTTTGTTCACTGCGTCTCTCCATTATGTATGGAAACTTGCCAAATTTTCAAGTGTTTTAAAGTTATTTTATATATATATAAATATACAAGGTATGATATAGCACGTAATGAAAGTAGTTTGTTAGATTATGTATTGGTGGATAAAAGGTTGATGGGTAGGCTCAAGGATGTACACGTTTATAGAGGGGCAACTGACATATCGGATCATTATTTAGTTGTAGCTACAGTTAGAGTAAGAGGTAGATGGGAAAAGAGGAAAATGGCAACAACAAGTAAGAGGGAGGTGAGAGTGTATAAACTAAGGGAGGAGGAAGTTCGGGTGAGATATAAGCAACTATTGGCAGAAAGGTGGACTGATGCAAGTATGAGCAGTGGGGGGATTGAAGAGGGTTGGAATAGTTGTAAAAATGCAGTATTAGAATGTGGGGCAGAAGTTTGTGGTTATAGGAGAGTGGGTGCAGGAGGAAAGAGGAGTGATTGGTGGAATGATTTAGTAAAGGGTGTGATAAAAGAGAGAAAGTTAGTTTATGAGAGGTTTTTACAAAGCAGAAGTGTTATAAGAGTAGAGTATATGGAGAGTAAAAGAAAGGTGAAGAGAGTGGTGAGAGAGTGCAAAAGGAAGAACAGATGATAGAGTGGGAGAGGCACTGTCAAAAAATTTTAATGAAAATAAGAAAAAATTTTGGAGTGAGTTAAACAAGTTAAGAAAGCCTAGGGAACAAATGGATTTGTCAGTTAAAAACAGAGTAGGGGAGTTAGTAGATGGGGAGATGGAGGTTTTGGGTAGTTATAGTTATAGCAAACTGATACTGGCCAGTTAGATATGTTGTAATTGGATAGGTTGTGGGTGATCCAGCTACATCAAGTGACCACCAGAGAAAATATGGTAAGTAATAGTCTTGTTATGTTCACGTGTAACCCCTCCCCACCTTTTCCTTCAGTCAATTTAATATAATCCATACAGTCTACAACTAATTAGTAGTGCCATACCTGTGGGTGCTATCCACTTCTATACTGGTCTAGGATAGATATGGGTAAGATTTGTGTGGGTTATCAAAGGGGCCACTTGCAACAACCAGGGGTGGTTTAAGTTTTCTCACACACCTACATAGGGTGACTACAGTAAACAATATATGGCTGTTGCCTTCCAATGAGATTACTTGTATGAATGTAATGTTGAGGTTCATACAGGTAACCCCTTATAAATTTTCTATATCTGCCCGTTGGTCCTTCCGGGGGCGTTGACCCCCGGAACTCTCTCTCTCCCCAGTGAAAAATTAATTGAATTAATTACGTGGGTATAGGGTACACAAATTTAATCGATTGTGTGGTGGATGATAATTAGCCCAATTAATTGCTAGCACATGTGTGGCTAGGATTTATACAAGAGTAAAGCGCAAGAATTACTCTTATAAGGTGTCTACTTAAGCTGTATAATCGGTGATTATTAATTCTCTAACCATGGTTGGGTCTGAGGAAGTTAGTGCGGCTGGCAAGTCCATGGATGTCAAAGCAAAGAAAGCATCATTGCAAGCTCGGAAGGGTCATGTTACTAAATCATACAGCAAGTGTATGGAGTTAATGGGACAAGAAAAGGTGAACCCTGATGAACTAAAGTTACACCTAGATGCCTTAGAAAATAGATACGAGTTATTAAATTGTGGTATAAAGACTGTGAGGGAGATCTGCTGGCGAATTGTGCAAATGATGTTGAAAGGGAGCGGCTGTTGGATCAATATTATGAAGCAAAGGACAACATCGTGTCCTGTAAAACTAAGGCTCTGGATAAGGTGAAGGGTGTAAACAATGTTGCTGGTCAACCTAGTAAGGAAAAATCAGAGATGTCTACCAAAACTGCCAGAATTATTCATGCGTGTGTTTAATCCGGGAGAAAATTGGGAGGACTTTTGGTCTATCTTTAAAGCAGTCGTACATGATAGGAGTGATCTTGCGAGTGTTACCGAATTATGCTATTTAAAGGGACAAGTAAGGGGAGATGTGCATGTTCTCATACAAGCATTTCCAAATGTAGATGACTCCTATAGTGAGGCAGTTGACTTGTTGGAGGTCACTTATGGTAACTTGGAGCAAAGTAGGCTAGATCTAGTAGCTATTTTGGCTAATTTGAAGACTCCAGATCACAACCGCAATGGCTTACAGTAATTTAAGATCAAACTAGAAAGCACCCTTAAGACCTTGAGTAATAAATATGATCTGGAGGGAGCAGAGTGGTTGTTGAGTGCCTTGATACAGAATAAATTGAACTACAAAACAGCTGAGTGGCTATCTAACAAATATCACAAGGGTTACTTCGGGTTGGAGGAAATGAGAGTGGGCCTGCAGGAGTTAATTGTCCAACTGCAGACCAGCCAATCCAATACCTCTAGGAATATCACGTCTAGAGACCCCAGTGCACCTGTCAAGTTTTACAAAAGGAAAATTTATCCCAATGTCAATAATCATAATTCACCTACTAAAAGGGGTTACGTAGGCACATATCAAGTAACAGGGACCAGCAATAGTGCTTCTTCACATCAAAGCAAGAGGAGTAAGTACCACAATAAGGGTAACCCAGTTGATAAGAGGTCAGAAAAAGAAAGGAGAGACTGTATCTTCTGCAACGGTTGTTATTTCTCTTAAGAACTGTAATGCCTGTAATTCATGGGATGTTAAAGTGGAAAGATTGGAAGAGCTTGCTAGATGTATTAGGTATCTAGGAAATCACAATGTAAGGGATTGCCATGCTAAATTGAACCATTGTTATCAGTGCAACAAGGGAAGGTACCTCCTAGCTATGTGTAAGGGTGGATCTAATTTTAATGATGGTGAAGAGAGTGGTGAGAGAGTGCAAAAGAAGAGCGGATGATAGAGTGGGAGAGGTACTGTCAAGGAATTTTAATGAAAATAAGAAAAAAATTTGGAATGAGTTAAACAAGTTAAGAAAGCCTAGGGAACAAATGGATTTATCAGTTAAAAACAGAGAAGGGGAGTTAGTAGATGGGGAGATGGAGGTTTTGGGTAGATGGCGAGAATATTTTGAGGAACTTTTAAATGTCGACGAAGAAAGGGAGGTGGTAATTTCGTGCACTGGCCAGGGAGGTATATCATCTTTTAGGAATGAAGAAGAGCTGGATGTGAGTGTGGGGAAGGTACGTGATGCATTATGTAGAATGAAAGTGGGTAAAGCAGCTGGAACTGACGGGATCATGACAGAAATGTTAAAAGCAGGGGGGGACATAGTGTTGGAGTGGTTGGTATTTTTGTTTAATAAGTGTATGAAAGAGGGGGAAGGTACCTAGGGATTGATGGAGAGCATGTATAGTCCCTTTATATAAAAGGAAGGGGGATGAGAGATTGTAAATGTGAAAATTATAGAGGAATAAGTTTACTGAGTATACCAGGAAAAGTGTACGGTAGGGTTGTTATTGAAAGAATTAAGAGGCAAGACAGAATGTAGAATTGCGGATGAGCAAGGAAGTTTTAGAGTGGGTAGAGGATGTGTAGATGAAGTGTTTACATTGAAGCATATATGTGAGCAGTATTTAGATAAATGTAGGGAAGTTTTTATTGCATTTATGGATTTAGAAAAGGCATATCATAGAGTGGATAGGGGAGCAATGTGGCAGATGTTGCAGGTGTATGGAATAGGTGGTAAGTTACTAAATGCTGTAAAGAGTTTTTATGAGGATAGTGAGGCTCAGGTTAGGGTGTGTAGAAGAGAGGGAGACTACTTCCCGGTAAAAGTGAGTCTTAGACAGGGATGTGTAATGTCACCATTGTTGTTTAATATATTTATAGATGGGGTTGTAAGAGAAGTAAATGCTAGGGTGTTCGAGAGAGGGGTGGGATTAAATTATGGGGAATTAAATACAAAATGGGAAGTGACAGTTACTTTTTGCTGATGATACTGTTCTTATGGGAGATTCTAAAGAAAAATTGCAAAGGTTAGTGGACGAGTTTGGGAATGTGTGTGAAGGTAGAAAGGTGAAAGTGAACATTGAAAAGAGTAAGGTGATGAGAGT